GCCGTTGCCGCCGGCCCTACCACCGTAACCACCACCAACACGAGCTTATCTGAAAGCCTCAGATCATCCCCCCCCCCCCCGCCCCGAGACATTGAAATTGAGCATCTGGTGCCCCAAACCTCGGGCGTGAAGCTCGAAGCTTCAGACTCTATCGTGCCAAGGCCCAAACTCTTGAGAGAAGGCAGAAGATAGACTCTAAAATGGGCAAAGCCTGAAGCAGGCCCGTGAACCTGCACGTCCCGAGGAGGAGGAGGACGGGCTTGGCGTTGTAGTGAGACAGCTTCTTCCTGCTGCTGCAGCTGTTGCTGCTCCTGAGCTACCACTGTTGCACGCGCAACGTGACGGTTTCTTTCACTTGTCCTAGTCTACGACATTGCTGTGGACCTGGCGTCTGCATTTTTTTCACTCAACCACTGTCTCCTCAGCAACTATCCCCTCATTCTCCGGCTGCTTCTTCTTCTTCTTGGTTTGGGGCCTGTTGTTGGGGCGTCGGGCATCGGACAAACAAGGGACCCGGCAGATCTCTTCCTGCCTGCGGCGTTCCTGAAATCCCGAACTACTCCATCAAACCCTTGTCGCAGAGCGTGCCCTTCTGTGACGTATGCCGGTGCAGCGGGTCATTAAGTTCGCTGGCTACAGCAGCGTGATGCGGAGTTTTGGGGAACTGCGGTGCATTTCAGGGCTTTGGGGGGTTTAATTGATGAGGACTTGAGACTGGATCAGGCTGGTTATTTGTAGAAAGCAGTAGCATTATCAAGATTGTTGCTTTTCTTGTTCTTATTAGTACTCCTATTTCTTGTTATTGCAGGTTTGGGGTTGTGGGTTCAGGATCTTGCGGCGCTGCCGGCAGCTCCAATCCTTAGAGTCCTGGTTTCCGGCTTGGGGTTCGCAGGGACTTAGGTCGTAACGAAAAGGGGTCTGACCTCTGTCAGCAAGATGATTCCCTTTTGCCCGTATGTACGAATAGTTACTAGTTATGCCATAATATAGAGCCCAGAACCCCGTTCTAGCTTGGAGGCTCTTATGTTCGCGGTTGAATTGAATGTTGCTTTAGTGTCAGGTTCAGGGGCTGCATCCTGAATCCGAACCTGCCTTAGAGCTTCAGAAATCAGGGGCCTCTATGGTGTAGGGTTCCGAGTATCTGGATTCTAGGTCCGTTGTACAAGCACAACCGATTGCAGTCTCTCAAAACTGTACAAAACCCTCGTAGAGCCCTCGTACGCTCTGATATAACCTAGGCAACGCCCTTACCAAACCCGTACCCGTATACAAATCCTTGTAAACCTTTTATGGAACCCTTGCCAAAACATACACCAGCAACTTCAAACCTTGAGGAGTCATGGTGGCAGGCTCGCGCAGAAGCCCCTGACACTTGGCTAAGAATAGTTACAGCAACTAAAGTATAAACCTGCATTATAAGAGCATATGACTATAGTTACCTTACTTATAACCCTGCTGACTAAAGCACCCTGAACCTCCAAGTACTCTTTACAAGACAGTAGAACTACATTGTGTAGACCACTGATTCGTGAACTCCCTTTCTTCGGAGAACTTAACATTGGGCTCCTTTTTATGTGAGTGGGGGCTTATTGATTAGGGTCTACAGTACCCATACACTCCAACCCACAGACCGTCAACCCTAAACCCTGCAAGCCCTGTGATGCACGAGCCTTGAACCCAAAAAGCTCAAGCTCGACACCCCACCGAAACCGTAGTTCCGCTTTGCGGATTCGCCGCTTGCCAGACCCCTGGGGGTAAATATTGTGGAGGGAGATGGTCATGCAGGGTCGTGAATGATAGAGGGGGTAAGTAACCAGTAGCTAGTCAGACTACACGCGTACAGTCCGAAATATCTACAGTTGTTGACTCCTCCAGCTAAGTATCCAGACTTCCGAGCAGAAGTTTCAGAAAATGACAATCGACTAGACAGGCACTGATTGGTACTG